AATGAGCACCATCTGTTTACTGTGATATTTAATGAGCAGGGCAGAGCTGGGGGGAGCCCAGCCCAGGCATTTGCACAGCACACTTCCCCCTGCTCTCATTGCTGCCTCTGATGGATGGGCCCAGGCACCTGCCAGGGTGGGAATGCACCAGCCCTGGGGGCTGCTGGAGCATTGCTGAGCCTTTGCAGGGGCTGCTGCCACAGAAAAGAAGCCAAGAGCAAAGCAAATGAGTGAGGACACCAGTCTGAGCAGAGTTATGGGAACTAATGACGGCGCTGGAACGCGGGAAGGAAGCAGGACAGAGAACATTAAGGGAGCCAGGAGGGAAATTAAAGCCTTTCCCAGCTAATGTGAGTTATGAGGGGCTCCTCGTGGCATAACTAGACAATTTATCTTCCTGTAAGGAAATAAAACAAACCTGGGAGAGTAATCCAGCTAATTATGCAATGACTTTATAGACACTGCCTGAGCAGAAATTACTTTCTCTATGGGTTGTTTCCTCAGAAATTTTCTGCCTGTTTGCCCATGTAAGAGCATTCCAAAAATCTTCTTTTAGACTGCGCTGTGTCAAAGTGGAAGAAAACAATTTGGTATCAACATGATTTCAGTGAGACAAAAAAGAAGATTTCCTGCTGTGGTTCTAAAATCCCTCATGCGTCCACTGTGGTGGTGTTTGAGGTCCCCAGGATGAGGGAAGAGATGAGAATCTTGACTCCATGTTTCAGAAGGCTGATTTGTTATTTTCTTATATATATATTATACTAAAAGAAAATTATATACTAAAACTATACTAAAAGAATAGAAGAAAGGATTTCAACAGAAGACTAGAAAAGGAATGAATAATAAAATCTTGTGACTGCTCACAGCCTCAACACAGGTGGCTGTCATTGGTCATCAAGTAAAAACAATTTCACAGGCTGGGTAAACAATTCTCCAAATCACATTCCAAAGCAGCAAAACATGGAGAAGCTGAAGCTTCTCAGGAGAAAAGATCCTGGCAAAAGGATTTTTTCATAAAATATGTCTGTGACATGTCCACCACCCCTCAGTTAATGGCTAAGGCTGCAAGGGGCTGCACTAGAGAAACTCTGCTGTCCTGGTAATCCACTGCTGTCCAGGAGCCTGAGTTTTATTTCTCTCCAAATATGTAACATCTCTTGCTCTGCTTTATTATTTGGGTACCAGTCTACCAGGCCTGGACCAACACTTGATTCCAAAGAATTCACTCAGGGAGGGCTGGAGTGAGTTTGCCACTTTCTTGACACTGATTTGAGGACTACTTAGCTGAGTGATCTTGGCTGTAATCTGTTTTTAATCTGGTAAAAATCTCTGCAGTTAACTGTCAGCCACCAAATTTGAGTAGAAATAAAGCAATATACCTCCTCTCAGGTGTAAAACACAGGAGCAGAGCCATGAGAAAGAACACCCCTCACATTGGAAAGGTGGATGGGTGAGAGAGAAAATCCTGCTGGCTTTTTCCTGAGCAACCCCAAGCATGAGAATGGCTGGGAGTTAGCTAGGGGTGGGACTAGCTGGCTGTGTAAGATGCTGTAACATCTAAAAAAATCTCTTTACCTGGTGCTTAAAGCAGTAAAAGGCACTTTTGGGAGCCTTCTAGAAAGTGGGTGCAGATGGTTCTGGTGGTGGAGGACTGAATTCAGTAGGGTCACACAGGTGTTACTCAGGACAGCTTTCAAATCAATGAGCAAGGCACTGCAGATAGGAAAGGCAGTCCCAGATTCAAGGGGGAAAGAAAAGCTGTATTACAGCCCCAGACAGCAGCCTGAGAGGTGAAAATTGCAGGTGATCTTGTGCTACCACCAGTCTGTAGTAAGCACTTTCTCTCCTTCCACTTTTTATCCATGATCTGTACTATGAAATGTGACAATGAGTCAGAAATGTCACATAATTACACCTCAAAGAGCCCAGGGTAATTGGCAATCACCAAAAGCTGCCTTTCCTATAATTTGCTAAAAGGAATGAAGCTCCTTGTGTGTTTTGGGGCACCACTAGAGCAGAGATGTCTAATTACCAGCAAGTTCAGCTCAACAGCTGTCAACACATCAGCTCTAATAGCTATTTCATAAGGACAAAGACATAATATGGGCTGAAGGAGCTCTTCTGAACCTGTCCAATTTCCCTCTGCCACTTTCCCCAACATTCTGTAAGGGTTACTAAAGAAATTTGTGAAAGATTTCATTCCAGCTGTAGCTTCAGCAGCACTGAGCACAGGCTAAATGGCGCCCAGGCACTGCTGGTGTCAAGCTGGAAAGGCAGCAGAGCCTCTTGCATGGCTAAATGGTTTTTAATGTGAAATATCTCAGCAGAAAGGTGCAAAGGGAAAGAAAGAGAAGAAAAACTGGGATGTTACTGTTATCACTGTAGTTCATGGAATCATTGAATCACGGGTTTGGGTAGGAAGGGACATTAAGGACCATCTAATTCCAGCCCCTGGCATGGGCAGGGACACCTTCCACTATCCCAAGTTGCTCCAAACCCCATCCAGTCTGGCCTGGGACACTTCCAGGGATGGGGCAGCCACAATTTCTTCTTAAATTCCTACAAGGAGAATTCTATTGACAGTAAAGGTTCAGGAATTGGCTGCTCTGAAGCAGCCCTTTACCAGCAAAGCGAAGACACCGAGGAAAAAGAACAAGCAGTGTCATGGTGACAGCTGCCCTCTTACAGGCAATATGGCTTTGGCCAAAAACTGCATTCTGCACAATTCTCCTTTCTGCCATCCAGCTCTAAAAAAACTGAGGAGAACTATTTCACCAAGCTCTGACCTTACGGCCAGAGAGGGACCTGCCTGTGAAACCCTGCACATTTTCACACTTCTCCTGCTTTAACTCACTGGAGTCCCTAATGCTTAAAGAACAGATAAAAGTGCACACAAACCACCAAATCTCTACACAGAACCCTACCAGCCCCTTTCCTCTATTTTTTCCCCACTCAGTTAAAGAAGACACCAAGAGTCAGAAGGAAACTGGGAATGCAGAGGAATGGCATTGGTGGCAAAAATGAAACCTGTGCTATCCCAGCCCATTGTGAGGACAAATTACCCCAAGGAGGAGCCCCCAAAGCTTGAGCTGCATCTCCTTGTATTTGTCCCTGTGCCCTGGCACACCAGCTGAGCTTTGCTCAGCCACCACAGCAGTAAAGCTCAATTAAAGTGAGCACAGGGCTCAGTGACCTTCCCTAGGAGCTGAGCAACCACCAGGGCTTTGAGATGCTCTCCCTTTGCTCTGGGTCTGCTTGAGGAGAAAGGGAGCATGAAATGACACTTCCCCATTTAGAGCTATCAGCTCTGAGTGCTCTGCCAGGGGCAGATGCCCCATCCCAACCTCACTGAGATACACAAGATATGCTTCTATTAATTCTCTTTTGTTATAAGATTACTAATTTAGGCAAATAATAACTGTCTAGCACAGAAAATGTCCTTCATTAACATGGAATTGTGTTATTTTCAAGCTAGGAGGATTCAGAATCACTGCATTTGTGCTGCCCAGTGCTGGTCACTGCAGTGAGACAGAAGGCTGCAGCTCCCTCTTTTTCTATGGTTTTTGTTGGTGGTGGTTTTGGGTTTTTACCTTTATTTCAGTGGATTTATAGTACAAGTTTATCCTTTTTCTAATAGGGACATAATACAGTCTATTTTAAAAGTATCCAGTGGCTAGTCATACATTATGGAAAAGCTGGATGTTAAAGATGAAAGGCAAAGAGAGCTGCACAGAGAAGATGATCCTAATTTCTCCTTTCTCTCTCTCTCCACTCCCTCCCCAACACATAAACACTCCTCTGCTGGCCACCCTTGTGTTTTCACACAGAGCACTTAAAATAATCTTATTAACGTTTATGCTTTTTAAATCTGTTTATTACACCACTCCAGCTTTATTTCCTAATCCTCTTTGGTTATTTTGATTTTTGATTTTTTTCTTTTTAAACTGGGAAAGCTATCTGCTTTTTCCCTGCCAGCTTTTAATGAGTTCTTTAATCCTAAGAGCAGCAACAAGTGCTCCCACTTTCTGCACTTCCCTTCTGAGGGGCCTTTCCTGATCACTCTTTTCAAGTCTTGCTTACAGGATACTAAAAATTTAAGTTAATAGGAGTGTTAAAGTGTTAAAGCCCAGCTTTTGTGCAGCATTTTCAGGCACCAGAGAGGGGTCTCAGAGATACTAAAAATTACATCACCCTTGTAGTGCTGCCAGTCTAAATAACTGCAGACAGCAGTGAATATTGTTCAAGTCATTTCAGAGACAAACCAAATGACATTTATGTCACTTTTTCTCTCTTTGCATGATGAGCATGCCTGGCTTAAAGGAGATGTGACCCTACTGCTCTGGCTTTCCTTCTCCAGTCAATAAATATGACTGGGAGCAAATGGGAGGAGTTTCTGTCTGCAGCAAAGTCCTGCCACACTGGTGGCCAAAAACAACCAAGATATTTTTCAGCCCTCCTTTCAGTTCCAAAGAGATTAGCAATGCAAGAGGGTGAGACAGAGCTGTAATTAGTCAGGTCACTGAAAAGGAAAAATGCATAATGATCCTGCAGATAAAGCAAGGCAAACATATTGATTGCATCTCAGAAGGCAAAGAGTAACTTTCTTCTGAATCTCAGACTAGGTAAAGTCCATTTTACTACTAAAATCCCATAGCAGAAGAGCTCCAAGCTTGTGACTTCACACAGTGAGAGTATTAATAAATGTATGTACTGATTTCTCAGTTTGGTGGACATCAATATATGTGTAAGCCAAAGAGTTACTAGAGCAAACTTTAGCCTGCTGCTCACTGGGAAGGACAATCAATCTTAAAATTTACCTTAACATAGTAAACCCCCATGGTTTCTAAATTATTAAAACATGCCTGAAGCACTGGAGAGTTGTGCAGCTGCAAGTGAGTGATGCCAGTGAACCATCAGGTCTGTGTAACAGCACTAAGTAAGTACACTCAGTGTAAGAGTCAGTAGTTACAAACCTGCACCACACCTGACATTTCACTCACCTCTCTTTTACCTGTGCGCCTGCTCAGCGAAGCCAAAATTTACACGGGAGATATTTCAGAATCTGCTTCTCTGGAAGAGACATCTCAACCTCTTCTTTGGGGCTTAGTGTTTGAAACAGGTGGAGGAGTGCTGCTTTCTGATGCAAATCCAAATTCCTCTGCGTGGAATGTGATTAGCCTGGGCTGGTCTCAGCAGGCAGAAACTCTTCAGCCTGAAATGTTCCAGAGCAGGTACAAATGGCTTCTGACAGGGAAGATCAGCATTCATTTGTTACACTGGGAAGGAAAGAGCAATTAATGATGGGATTCAAAATGTAAGACACATAGCCAGGGCAGGGATATCGAGAGGCTCTGGGAAAGATGAAGCCATCCCTGAACTTGGGGTGCAGCAGCGGCAGCACGCCTGCAATGCAGGGAGGGAGCTCTGTCACTGTCATATCTTCTGAAAAATTCTCTTTGCCCAGGACTCTTCTCCTGGGAAGCTGAGAAGCTTCAGAGAAAAAAATGAAACAACATTTTTTTATTATCTCATTTCCTTCTCCTTTGTTTTGCTGCTTTAAAATGTGGTTAGAAATTGTTCATCCACCATGTGAATTGTTTTGACTTAATGACCAATCACTGTCAAACTGTGTCGGGACTCTGGAAAGAGTCACGAGTTTTTCATTATCATTCTTAGTAACCTTCCATCTGTATCCTTTCTCTATTCTTTAATATAGTTTTAGCAGTTTTATTTAATTTATTTTATTTTTTAAACTTTAATATAGTTTTATTATTTTATCATATTATCATATAATATGATAAAATAATAAATTAACCTTCTAAGAACACAGAATCAAATTCATCATTCCTTCCCTCATCTGGGGACCCTGAAAATACCACAGAGTGCAGAGTGTGTTCACTTTATACTCAGCAACTCCATCTCCAGAGTGCTTCTGGCACAGGGCAGAGCTGCAGCTGCAGGGTACTAATCAACCTCCCAAGCTTTGGGGGCACTGCAAGGGCAATGTTTTGCTCACCAGCCTCTTAGGCTGCTTCCAGCAGGAGCAGGATTCCTACGGCTGAGTTGGGAAGGCCCCGACAAAGGAGGAATGATGAGGAGGACTCCATCTTATCAGAAGGCTAATTAATTACTTTATTATACTACATTATTCTATACATCTAACACTGAACCTGCAAAGCACTCAACCCTGCACACAACATTCTGAACGTCGTGACTGTCACCCAACAATCTCACACACACACCTGACAGGCCAAGGAAACAAAACACCATCACTTTGGGTAAACAATCTCCATATTGCATTCTACTTTTCCACAAATGCAGGTACAGCAAATGATAAGAACCGTTTTTCCTTTCTCTGAGGTTCAGAGAATGAGAAACCCAGGAATATTTTTGGGAAGAATGATGCCTTGCTTTTCTCTGTGCAGAGAAATGTGGCTACAGATTCTCAGAGGGGGCAGCAGGCAGCAGAGCTCTGCACTGGCCTGGCTCTTTCCACAGCTGGCCAGCACTCTGCATCCCTGCATCTCCCCATTTGTCCCTGAACCACGGGGATCTGAGCCAGTGGATGTAAAGAACTGCCACAGTTATAAAGGCTTGAAGTACCAAGTGCTGCTGATCAATGCCACACTTGAGGTCACCGTTTGTTGGGTTTGTGGGGTTCCCCGGGTTGGGTTGGGGGTTGGGATTTTGCTTCCTTTTTTTCGGGGGGTTGTTTTTTTTTTTTTTTTTTTTCTTTTTTTTTAAGGATTCTTAATTCTTAAACTTTTCTTTTGGAAGGGGAAGGGTTCCGGCAGAATGTTGAACAAGAATGAATAATAAAAATTTGTGACTCCTCAGAGCCTCGACACAGCTGGCTGTGACTGACTATTAAATTAAAACAATTCACATGTTGGATAAACAATCTCCGGACCACATTCCAGAACGGCAAACACAGGAGAAGCTGAGGGTTCTCACCTTCCCAGGAGAAAACCCTGGGCAAAGAGGATTTTTCAGAAAATATGACAGTGACAGTACCATCCCAGGTGTGTGTGTGGACTGACAGGACTGCCCCAGGTACAGCTTTGCATGGCAATGGTGCTTTGTCCCACAAAACTGTTCCTCAGCCCTGCCAGGAGTTGATCTGAGAACAAAGAAAACATTTTAAATCCAAACCAAAGGAACTTAATTCGTTACCCACATCCATTTATGATAGGTGGGGCTCTGCCAGGGCTCACAGGAGAGAGAAAGGCTCTCTTGGGTAGTTACACCATCGTGGAAACAGAAGAGCACAAAGGGGACCAAATGCCCACAGCCCACAGGCAAAAGAGCATTATTAAGGCTGTGAACCCAAACCCTGCAGAAGTTAGGAAATCCCAGGATTCAGCTTGTTTTAGTGATGAGACTTTGCCATTGCCATCTGCAAGTCTGCTGTCCAGAAGAGTCTTCATGACAGGAATATTTATTTTGTCCTACAGGATCCTTGCCATACGTAGAGAGGCTTATGAGAAGGAGGGAGAGGGACAATCTACATGGGCAGATAGTGACTATTGACAAGGGGGAGCAGTTTTAAAATGAGAGAGGGGTGCTTTATATTACAAGTTAAGAAGAAATTCTTTATTCAGAGTGTGGTGAGGCCCTGGCACAGGGTGCCCAGAGAACCCTCATCCCTGGAAGTGGCCAAGGCCAGGCTGGATGGGGCTTGGAGCAATCTGGGACTGTGGGAGGTGTCCCTGTCCATGGGATTGGGTGGAACAGGGTGAGCTTTAAAGTCCCTTCCAACACAAACCAATGATTCTGTGATTCTTCTCCCTCTCCAAACAGTCAGTGATCCCTGAACAAGCAGCCATTCCCTATTTTCTCCTCCTCCTAGAGCCCTAGAATGCTGCTCTATGACTTATTTACTGCGTGCTGCTTTGAAGACAGAATAATTCATTTTTTTTCAAAGGATTTTCTCTGGCACTCACCGTGTGAGGGCTTCTCAAAGATTAATGACATCTGCTAGCACAGTGTGCCTGGGAGGTGACAGGATGTGTCAGGAGGACACATGTTTTGGCTGGGTGGCACTGAGCCCTCTAACAAGCTCACCAGCTCCAGCCAGGACACCATCATGTGTCTCTGTAAAGGGCTGGGAGTGTGACAGGTACACAGGAGCAGAGCCTCCAGCTGGGAGAGTGCAGGAACAAGTGTCTGTACTTAGGGCATGGGGCTGGGATAAAACAGCTGCTTTGCTTGAGACTTGCTCAGCTTTTGTGAAATGTTAACACTCAGCCAAAAGAAAGCAGAGCATGAACCCTGCAGTGAGCTGGGAAGCTTGCAGCTTGCTTTGCAAGCAGGTGGACAAGTTGTTACAGAGCATTGTCACCTCATTCTCAACACGTGCAAACTGAAACACGCTGAAACAAGGACAGAAAACAGCCACTGGTGTAGTGTGCCTGACTGGGAGCCTGGGCCTTGGTTTTGAAGGACACCTGCTGCTCCATAAACATTATAATATTCAAATTGTGATGTCTAAATAGCACATTTTACAATGTGAGGGTTGTCAATCAGGCCTTGGGTTTGAGGCAGGCATCAGGTGATCATGGACAGTGACAAGTGACCCTCAGATTTTTCAAAGGCTGGAAACCCACTCCAATGAAAGCATCCAATGGTCCTGAAAATGAGCCAGTCCCCCAGCAGGTCCCCCAGCAGGAAATCAGTGCTGGAAATCAGCCACACAGGAGGCAACCAGGATCTGGAATGTGACACTGGCTATTGTCACCCAGACAGTTTGGCCTACAACAGATTAAATGCTATCTTGGACAGCAAAACTAACCCTGAATTACCTTTCCTTTCAATTAAGTCAAAATACTGGATGGAGACTTTTCCTTCCCATGTCCTGTCAATGAAAACCTTTCCTAACAATTAATTTTTTTAACAAAATCTGATCTCACTGCCATCATTTTCCACAGGACAGGGATAAATACCTTAGTTTACTTCAACTCTTATTTAAAACATAATTTTAACATTGTTTCAGCAATTATGCTGACATATTAAAATCAACTAAGCTGTAGACCAGTAGTACCACAGCCACGTTCAGCACCCCACACAGATGGAAGATCCATTCCCTTGTTGAGACACAAACTACAAAATCCCCTCCGTGTTCTCTGGGAACCTGCTGGAATCAGACTCATTACAAAAGCCCCTGTTTCAAATAAATAAAGGGATTGTTCAGCCTGGAGAAAAGAACTAATACTTGAAGGAGCTGCCAAGAAAGATGGAGAGAGACTCTGTACAAGGGATGGAGGGACAGGACACAGGGAATGGCTTCCCAGTGCCAGAGGGCGGGGATGGATGGGATATTGGGCATTAGGAATTGTTCCCTGGCAGGGTGGGCAGGCCCCGGCACAGCTGTGGCTGCCCCTGGATCCCTGGCAGTGCCCAAGGCCAGGCTGGAGCAGCCTGGGACAGTGAAAGGTGTCCCTGCCCATGGCAGGGGTGGAACTGGATGGGATTTAAATCCCTTCCAACCCAAACCTTTCTGGTATTCCATGAATATTTCAGACACTGTTGCAAAACCAAACTTCCCATCCTGGACAGAGCATTTTGATGTCAATAATCCACAGCTTTTGGGATCTCCCAGGTGCTAGCACAGCAGAGAGTGTGAATAACTGGGTAACAGAGCCAGTCCCAGCACACGTTCACACTGCTCTCCACTGAAATGTGAGAAACACCTATTGAGTCTGAGGAGAGCATAACTAATTAAAAGGTCTCATATGCTGTATAGAAAGGAGCAGATTTTTTGATAAGACTGCACTCATGTCAATGCTGCAATACCTGCCTTTCTCTAGTTGGACAAAAGCTGATATAACCAATTTTCTCACACAGAGAAAACCAAACACAGTTCATGGGTGAGTGACCACTACTTAATTGACATTACTTCTTTATGTACAGGATAATCTCTCAACATGAATTTCATTGCAGGCAATGGAAAGGGAATAAAGGAAATAATTTAGAGTATTACAGGAGCTTTTTCCTTTTTTCAAATCTTATTTTCACTTTGAGGTTAGGTGAATTTGCTTGTATTTTTTGTAAATTCAGGGACCAGAGCGCTTCTTATATTATCTCTATGGCTTATAGTAAGTACTTATATTATCTCTAGTCCTCTTAGTCTGGCAGGTTGCTGACTAACAGATGTGTAGGTATAGTACAGTATGTATACAGATTTACATATTTATTTATTTCTAAATATATATTTATATAAAAATATATTTATAAAAGTGATTTACAATATATTTTTATATAAAAATTATATTTATAA